CCTGGCAAGAGTATCCGGTGTATCCCTACATATTCTCTACACTTAAAAGTATATGTCATGGTAGAAATTCTCTACATATTCTCATTAATTTTTAACATAAACCAATTAACACTTGTTTTAAAATTTTAAACCCAACTAAATGTAATATTTTAGACTACCATAACATATATTTTTTGATATATTAACAAGTTTTTTATTATTTTATTTATAATAGTTATTTATTGTATATATATATTATTGTGTATATATGTATTTAGATTAGTATAGTATACAAATATTTTTAATAAAATATGTATTAAAGCTATTCCGTTGTTTTGTCTGACTTATATAATTTTTTTTTGTTTACTTTCTCTTGGACGATTACGCAAATGTGCATTACAATTCTTGTATTTATTAATGTATCTCATCAACATTGTACTCCTCTATGTTTTTCTCAAGACTGCTCGCTTTTGGACAGACATTTGATCGAGTTGAACGTGCTTTTTAAAAATACTAGATGATAACTCACGTATACACGCGAGATGCTTTCTAATTATTTTTGAGTATTTGCATCCACTAACAATACTGTTTAGGGTAATTAAATAAATAGCAAGGGGAGTTTAGTTGCTACTAGTGAGATGATTTTTCGCCATCAAATCAGACCAAAATGGCTTTACGCGCTTCTCCTCAAACCGAAGGAACAATCTCCCTTTTACTGTTGCTTGCATTAAATGGCTCGATAACCGAGCGATATTTGCGTGCAAATGTTTCTTTGGCTTGAATGGATTTGTGAAGAAAACTCTCCATCTTCCTTCTTATCCCACCGAACTCAAAGCCCTAGCTCCATTCTAATAATTTTCCTTTGATTTCCCTTTCAATTTTGTTAATCTTCTTTTTTCGGTGAATCAAAGCGTTCTTCTCCTTCGATATTTTCCATCTGTGTTTGTAATGTATCGTTTCATCATTCTGGTTTTTCAATCCTTTCGGCTTTGATAGTTCATACGAAATTCCGATTATTGTTCACTGAATTTCATCTTTTCTGCTTCGAGAGACTCGTCAAAGATTTCTATTGAATTTTTTTCTTCCAGATCTACGGTTTTTTTTTGTTCGCTAAGCGTTTTTGAGTATAGTTATTTCTATAATTTTGTTTTTGTGGATGCCCAATTTTTCCCAATTTGATATACTTTTCTCTTTTCCGGTTCAGATTATGGAGAATCCGAGCCTTCCACTCCGTATGTTTGCAGACCGGGAAGAACCTGTTGGTGATCGTGTTAATTGCTATTTCAAGTTTAACTTCAACCCGAAGAGCTTGCTGTAATTCGTCCGGCTTTTGGGGGCTTGCTTGAGCTCTATTCTCAACCTACCTTTTCCGGGAAGCTCGCTCATTTTTGGCTTTGTAGACAGCTAGTTGTTGGTAAAGGCCATGAGATTTGGGTTGTTTTTGTGGTAAACCTATAAAGTTCAGCCTTAGAGAGTATGGAATTGTGAGTGGTCTTAGGTGTAGCCCAATTCCTCAAATTAATCGGTTTACTCTAACTAGTAAACCTGAAGTGACGCCTTATTGGTTCACGCTTTTTGGTGGGGAAAAGCTTGCTTCTCTGCTTAGGAAGTCCAAGAATCTGTCTTCTGAACTGCGGGTTAAGTATGCGTGTTTGCTTCTTGTTGATGGTCTTCTTTGCCGTCGTTCTTCTCACATGAAGATTCCTAAAGAGCATGCTGAGATGATTCGCAACCTTGATTTCTTTCTGAACTATCTCTGGGGTCGCCACTCATTTGATATGACAATGCAGTGTATTAAATCCCGGTTTGTCACACAGTTAGCCCAGTCTACTGTTGCTGTCCAAGGTTTTATGCATACGTTGCAACTTCTAGTGCTGGAAGCTGTCCCTGCTGCATCTCTCGTTGTTGGTGATGGTACTGATCCGGAATCCGGAGATGAATAAAACCGTCCTGTCATTGCCTTAAAGCTTGATAAACTATGGGAACTTGATGAGGAAAACACAATATGATTTCCCTATTTTTTGTTGATCTTAATTCAATTTTATTCAAAATGTTAAATATCTAAAGATTATTTTAGCATCTATTGTCTTTCTGAAGATGTCTTTGTTTAGTTATCTCCGGATTTGTTTATATGTAGCGGTCTATTTGGGTAGGTAAACCTCTACGTTGTCTATATAGATGTCTATTTTTACATTTTCCCGATTATGTACGCATGTAGTGGTTGATATTGTCCCTTAAACCTCTACTTATTTTGTTATCAACCCATTTTCTATTTTCGTCATTCCTTGTCACTGAGATATTTTTAGTGTACCTGTATTTTTTTCTGGTTAGTTGTCTATGTTATTGTTTGGAGATCTATTTTTTTTCTTATACATGTCTTTTATTTGTGTCTTTAGTTTTTTAAGTCTGTATTTATTTTTCTTGAATTTTTTACTTTTAGGTTGATGTTATTTCCATAATCCCAACTCCTCGAGGCGAAGATAGCGAGATAGAAGATTATAGCTGGGCTGCTGAAGGTGATGATAGTTCTGTTGCACACATGGAGAACCTAATTAATGATGGTTTTGTTTTCTCCCGTCACATGTTTGAAGGTGGGCAAATTGGATATGGAGGCTCTGCTGCTCCAAAAAGTAAGAATCCTGGTAAAGCCAAGCGGAAAGGGAAATCTAAATCAAGTTTGGATGATAGTGAATTGGTTGGATCGTCTACAACCAAGGAGGCACGGCTACACCGTTCTCGTGATCGAGTTGTTTCCTCTAATTTCAAATTCAAAATTCTGCAGGCTGTAACTGTTCAGATTAAGACTACAGTGTCTGAGTGTAAAACCATGATTGCCAATAGTGTCCGTTCTGATTTTGAGCATGTTGAGACCCGCCTTGATAACAAATTGGAGAATGTTGTCCCTGTGCTGGTCAGGCAATGTTTGAAATCCAAGGATTATGATGAAGTTATTACAGATGTATTGAAAAATCTCTGTCCTTCTGATGGTCTTTTTGATGAACCTGGAGAAAATGTTCCTGAAGGTTCTACTGTTGGTGATAAGAAATCTTCGAAGAAACCTATGAGGTAGATGGTGAAGTTAGTTTTGTAATTCAATTCTCAACTTCATTTTATACTTTAAATTTTGTGTAGCTGGTTGGTTGATTTTTTAATTTTCTTTTCAGGATGATGATTTAGGTACTGCTAACTCTGCGGGTGAAGATGTATCTTTAGGGGGACCTAATCAATCAGGTCCTGGTGTTTCTGAGACAGTGCCGGTTCAGAATGTATATCATCTTTTCATCTTGTATTTGTTTATTTTTTATTTCATAACATTTCCACTCACTTTTCCTTTGATATTTTATTTCAATAGTCTACTGGTGATGCTGAGGTGAACGTTGTTGATGTCCTTCTCTCATTGGCAACTAACCCCAAATTCATTGCCATCTGCCAGAGAACTAAACCAACGAGGTGATTAAATTTGTTTATTAGATGTATATTTTTTTTGGTAACCTGTTTTTTTTTATTATATCGAACTATATACATTAATAGATCGGTATTGTACCCTATTTCAATATGAAGATTGGTTGTGAAAAATTATACATCTATAATAGTTGTTAACATG